GCGTGAACTATGAAGTTGACATCAACGTTGTAGAAGTGGCAAATACCACCTCAAAAAGGACGTTCTCTATGTACACGCCCCTTTCCGAAAGAAAATTCTTCAAGGGACTGTAACACCGTGCTCTTGCCTTTCTCGCCCCCCTCATCGAAAGAGCACCCATGCCGCTGTGCACCGCAAGTACGACGAACAGGGGTGGCCGATCGGCACATGGAATCCCCAGAGAGAACGGTGTTGAATCATACGGAGGGCGCTTGTTCTCAGGCGCAACGTAGAACGAAGACCAGTGCAGCCCCTTCTCCCATAATCGTAAAGAGAGGAGGGCGGCAAACACGGAAGTCCGACGATGCGGTGTATCCTGGAGGGCGGCAAACACGGAAGACCGACGATGCGGTGTCTCCTGCAAAACTGATTGAACTTGGTGCACCTGCATGCATGCCAAAAGGGACACCGAAACATCCCTAGCGGATGCAATGAAATAACTATTTTGAAACTCCATCATTCATGCCCCGCCCCTTCTACCTTCGGAAGCGCAATATATCTCGTGGCCAGCAGTAGAACAGCCATAGATCTGTCGCCACATGTACTGGTGATTCAGACAGGAAAAAACAATGTACGGCAAAAAAATCTGCCGTGCAGCTAGCCCCGTTGACGACGGGTCTCCCGTATCGTCCGACAACAAGTTGTCAACAGAAGTTCAGGTTGTTCAGACACAGGACACGAATGATGAAGCGCCGGGTCTTTTTATCCTGGATGAGTGATTCGGCGAAACCTGAGAATGAACCCCGCGCCCGTGCGATCTGTTGAGTATCCAGCCACACGGGCCGAGGCACAAGCAAGGAGTCACCAATAAGCGACATTTTAGTCCTGAAGGACACCAACAACACTCGCTTGCGTTGACCAGAGCGCGACATTTTCAACGGTCGCCTTGCGTTCGCTGGGGCTTCACATCTGGCGCAATGGTCAACGTCGGCACGCGGAAACAACAAATCAAAAGTAACTGCCGTCCCGACTCCGTCAACCAAACGCTATGTACCGCCGCCGTCCGGAAAACAAGTGACGATCAACGCAACTGCCACCGATGGCCCCATGATCATCGCCAGAAACCAGAATGTCGGAAAATGACCCAGTCAGCACCACGGGAGGATCTTCCACCCAGAAAACATAATGTCGGGAAACGACCGAATCAGCACCAGCACCAGCACCAGCACCAGCGGTAGCAGCACCAGCACCAGCAGCACTCGAGAATCTTCCACGAGATTATTTGGTAATTACACATCAATCACACCCTCGGAGGGGCGGGGCTGGGAGCCCGGATCTGCAATGACATGATAGCTCCGGGGTGCGCTGTTGATCGATCGATCGAATATCACTTGAGGTAGGCCAGGTCACTTCACTTCACTTTTCCACGTCGCCTTCTGCGGGGTTGGTTCCGTCGGTGTTGGCCACGTTCACATCCTCGTAACCATCCCCTGCCGGTTCGGAAGAGCGCACGGCCAGAAATTATCAAAAAGCAACAACAAATCACAAAATATGGGGAATGGGATGTTGAGGAGGGGCGGGGGGCGGTGCGGGGGGCGGTGGGGGTGGGGGTTACTAAAATTAATATCTTCCGGGCTGCTTGCCTGAACAGAAGGTGCTCTGATTGGGTTGTTTCGTGCAGGAACGAGCTCCGAGCGGGTTTCCTGCGGAACCAAACCTTAATCAACGCGATCTCACGTCTTTATGCATAACGATCTGGAAGGGGAGGAGCCCTGGGAACGAAAGCCATGAGCTAGCTACCGCCCACCAGGGCGCAGTAGGCCTGGCCAATCAACGTTCGACCGCAAGGTTGAAAACGCCACGAGGCGAGTTGGGGCTACAAAAAGAAGTAAACTGAACACAAGTCTTCAGCAACCCAGCGGCTTTGATTGGAACAGCCGCGGCATGCGTTTGTGGTTGTCCCTTACGGAAACGCACCGAGCGGTCTGTCACTACATGGGAGATGCTTTGGCACAATGGACGCCTCGTGCAGCGTTGATAGGCCTTGCCCTATGAGCATGGCTGTAGTCCGCAAGCGGTTGCACTCGGCACGACGGTGGTACCGCGACCGAGAACACGAACAAGGCAAAGAGAAGGGCTACCAGTGCCCAGAAGCTGAAAACAAGGCGCAGTCACCACATAACGCAAGCTTGGATGGGCAAACCAACTTTCACGTCGCAAAAAAGACAGCCACAACAAGCGAGTGCCGCGAATCACCCCAAGCGCAACCTTCGCACCCGCCGACGAGGCAGGCAATAGTAGCGACGGACCTTGCAGCTGACAACTTCGTCTTACGAAGTACATTGTAAACTTACCTGATCTCTTGACGACGTACAAGACTTGGTCGTTGTCGATCTCTTGATCGCCAATTGTTGCTAAGTCCACCAGCTCCCTCGCCTGGGAATGACATCCGTTGGTGCGATGCGTTTGTTTGTGTGTGGTTCTTCAATTTGCATCTATGGCTTTACCGCCTTACCAAAGCGTTGTATGTTTGTGTGCAGCACCAGAGAATGGTCAGGTTGACCGACAGCGGTCTACTGCAGCCGTAGGAACTCACAAACCACAATCTCGGGGGGGGGGGGGGGGGGNGGGGGGGGGGGGGGGGGGGGGGGGGGGGGGGGGGGGGGGGGGGGGGGGGGGGGGGGGGGGGGGGGGGGGGGGAGGCGAAGGCGGCGAAATAACACCAACTACAGAGCCCTGTGGTAAAATAAGGAGAAAAGCACGGTTGCCGCAAGGTTGGGTTCGTTGAGCGAAGCCTTAACCTATAAGACCAGATACGAAGTATCAATCACTCAATCACAACAGGTGCGCAATACCAACATGTCACGGTGGTAGGTCCGTTCTCTAGGAATGCTCCGTGTGCGGCCGGTAAAGGGAGATATTTTCGTACAAAAGCAAAAATTAACCGAGGAGGAGTGCGGCTGGCCACGAATGACACCCGTGTGCGTACTACTGTATCGCGAGAGTCACAGTCTACCCAATACGCCGCTGGACTGTTGACGACTCTGCAGTAATAAACGCTCCGGGACACGTGATCGAGCAGAGGCTTGTGACAGTGTCTACCGTACCGCACCGTACCGTACCGTACCGCACCGTACCGTACCGTACCGTACCGTACCGTACCGCTAACGTGCCGTATTTTTACCTTACCGTACCGTGATTGCCACGTAACCGTTACCTTATCCCGCGTGGCGAAGAGGCCAATCTGTCCCGGTTCGATGTTCAAGAGCTTGCCCGCCTTGGCCTTGATGGTGGCGAAGTTGTCCGCCGGCTCGCAGTGCATGAACACCGTCGTGTTGTGGCGCTTTAGCCGGATGTACCTTCGATGCAAATAGAAACCGTTCGCCAGAAGGATACGACGCAGGAAACACCAACAGCAGTGCAACTTGCTGTATCAAAGGTCCGAGTTTCGAAAGTCCATTCTAGCACTGCTCGGTACTTGTAGGTAGGTCAACAGCCATTGATGGAATCCGAAAAGAATGGCATGGACATCTTGATTCCGACAAGCCGTAGCAACACCTCGGTTTGTGGGTGACGTACTGCTACTGCAGGTTTCTACAGGGGGGGGGGTTACCGGAGTACCGAATGCCCGTGGTGATGCTTCTTAGCCAAAACCAATTTCCGGATCCTCAGTAGTGTACCTCACGACTCACGACTTGCGGAATTACTCCCAGAATTCAATTTTGATGAAATTCGGTTGCACAAGAGTAATTATTTCCAGTGCGTACTCCTGCCATATGTTGTACTAGCTCTTCTTCCACCGTAGTAACCATCGCTACGTGCCTGTAGGACACACAGCACACGCATTGGAGCATACCGCTCCAGTACCAAGTACACGGCAACATCATGCGTTTCAGCTCACGTGCATTCGTACATAAATGCAGCTACAATACCGCCGCACCCTATAGCTGCTGTAGCAATATTTGTGCGCGGTGTGCACACTGGTTCATCTGCGATGTCGCAAGCCTCCACACAGCCAGCTCACATGGACATGGCTGATCCAGATGTCCGTTCTCACGTTCTCGCGTGCCTAACCACGACCACCCCGTAGCAGCACGCTCCTGCCGCAGCTTGTATTGACGTTGAAAGAACTCACAGTTCCGTAACAACCTCAAGACAAGATTGCAGGATCACCCAAGGTCGCGTAAACAAGGGGAGTTGGCCGGTGCTGGTCCAATCAAGTAGAGGTCTGGTAAGAGCGAACTCCAACACTCCTGCGTTCTACCCTGTGCGAGATGGCCAAGCTGACAGCAAGAGCACCCGAACAGGCAGACGGCGTTGCAGAGACCAAGCTGCACAATACTTGAGATATGGCATGCCGATCAAGGGGCGACGCCAACTCAATCCTCAAACATACCGAGGGGGGGTGGTCTCCGTGTAGGTAGTGCAACAGCCAGCGTGTAGCAGGTAGCCGTGGAGTGCACTCTGCTCTCTGGTGTCTATCCTCAGTCGTGCTCAACTCTGGCCACCCATGTCAACCAAAAGGAAAGCTGCAGCAGGGGGCGCAGCCGAGGGTAATGGTAGCAAGCGTAAGGTGCGCTTTAGAGGCAAGGACGACAGCGAAGGTGAGAATCGAAAATTTGCGGTTTGCGTCGCTGCTGCGGGGTCTCGGTTTGCTCTCCTTGTAGGTATCCTCCTCAAATGGCCTGACTGCGTGTGCTGCGAGGTGACTTTGCGGCCAAAGGAAAATCAAACCACACTCCCCGGTAAAGCTGTCAAGGATCTTCATCTAAAAATTGCACATCCCGGCGCCATGCTTGTTGATTTACTACCACTCAAGAATGGCGGAATCGATCATCCATGAGCGAGCGCGACTCTATCCGCCTCTCTCCCGCCCGCGGGGCTCGACCTTCACATCTGGAGTGCAATGAGCGGGGACTGAGGGTGTGTGACCAATGTCCACCTGTGATGGTGCTGCTGCTGCTGCCGTTGGAGATAGAGATAGGATAAGCAATGCATTCTGGGGGCCACGAGACGATTATTGCTTCCCCGCGAACATGAATATGAAGCTCCTCGCAAGTACATGGTGTAGACTGCGGGTGCTGTCTCTATTTGCAGAGCGAAACCGACAGGGGCTCCTGAGTGGTGCAGTCTCTTTTTTGAAGTGAAATCAACAGGAGCCCCTGACTGATGTTGTGTCTTGTTCAAAGTGGAACCAACAAAGAGCTCCTTGTACGTAGGATACAGCATCAGCGGAGGCGCCTGCACTCGAAAGCTGTGTTTTAATTCTTCACCTGAGCTCAAGCCGGTCGGTGAAGTCATCGCTATTTCCGTGAAGGTCGCACGAAATCTATGTAAGACTACGTACTCCGCACTGTAGTAATATGTACGGTCGTGGCTCCGATGGAGAAGGATGGTGTGACAAAGGCCCTGGACCCTCTTATATCGGAGCCCCCTCTTACACGGGAATAAAGAGTACTCAACTATAGTCTGCTATACAGGGTCGAAGTCGTGACAACCGATTTCGACCCTACTATATCGGACCCCCTCTTACTAGACACCCTCTCATATCGAAGCCACGACTGTAGGGACCGCCTACGCGGGATTTTAAGATTATCGAGAAAAAGAACAGGGAGGGGGCACGCAGACCCTATCCCTAACCCTAACCCTAACCCCAAAGCACGGATTGAATACTTTATCCCATGTGTTTGCTTAATCGATTTTGCTGCGTAGACTACGGGACTGTAGCTGTAAGTTGCGCCATAATTGATGTGGCAAACCACTCTAGAATCGGCAGACCAAGCCCTATGCGATAGCAATCAAGGCCAGTTGCCCACAGCTACACGCAACAGCCTAATCAAGGGTCTCCCGGTCCCTGATTCGCCACAGAATAGTACCAAAGGAACAGGACTCCGGCAGAAAGGCCGGCGACCACAAGAACTCTCTCAACGGCAGAGTCCGGAACGCACACGATGGGCTTGTTTTGTAGATGTTCGGCAGGCGGTTGTGACGGGAAGGACGCACTGAAAACATCCCCAGGCACTCTCTGTCGTTGTTGTTTGGCGACCATCCCTGTGAAAGCACCGAACGCCGTTGTTGTATTGATATTGTTGTTGAGGGTGGTCGTGTGCGTGTGACTGCTTCCCGAGAACCCGTCACCAGGCGGGAGGAGCTTTGCGCCGCTCAGGGCCCACCGGAGACGCTCTCTCCAAAGACGAGGTGTATGCATACAACCTGGGAGGGACTTTGAAATTCCGGCTCGAAAGAAAACACATTTTTTAGAACTTGATCAACCGATGCTCACCTAAGAATCATGTGCCCCAATCTCCTTTACTATGGTCGCTGCTGGGTACAGGAGACAAAGAAGCAGACAAAAGACTCTTCGTGCGTAAGTGCAAGCGGCGCGTTCTATTTGCAGTGCTTGCTCTTATAGCAGTACATAATGATACTCCTATGGTAATGTTTCATCCCGTGATAGCACGCCAAGAGTCACTTTGACCTGTGTCTGTGCTCAGCACCGCCACCACCATCAGCACCAGAGCTAACCACAGCAGCATCTTCTGCCAATACTTTGCCCAATAACACACAGAAGAAGAAGGAAATGGTTCCAGGAGAGGGCCGAACCGCCGCGTAACCGGTGGTTCCTCCAGCCGTGTACGCGGCAGGGACGAGGAGGAGGAGGAAGAAGAGGAGGAAGAGGAAGAGGAAGAGGAAGAGGAAGGGGGTGGTAGGAGGAAGAAAAGCCGGAGGAAGAAGAAGAAAAGGAAAGGGCGCGGCGGGTTTGAAGACGACGAGGACGAGGAGGACGAGGAGGACGTGGACCGGATGGTGGAGAAGGTCCACGGGGAGGAAGAGGAGGATGAGCACTACGAGCGGGTGAGAGAGATAGAGAGAGAAAGAGAGAGAGCGGGGGGGTGGGGGGGGCGTATTCAAGGGCACCGTACTCCCCCCGCCTTGTCCTGGGCCTCATGAACAAACATGTGCTCGAATTCTCCACAACAAGGGCAGCGGGCTAGCTCTGGTGTGATATCTTGATGCCGTTTTTTTTTGCTTATCTCTACATAACATGCTGGCCGGCTTTCCACCTGCTGCGTCGTGACGAGTGTGACAACGCTTCCCGTGCTCCGCTCCCTCCGGTCTGTCTCTCTCTGTCCCTCTATGTCTCTGTCTCTCTTTCTGCCTCTCTATCTATCTGTCTGTCTCTCTTGTCTGTCTGTCTGTCTGTCTGTCTGTCTGTCCGCTGTCTCTTGTCTCTGTTTCTGCATCTCTATCTGTCTGTCTGTCTCTCCATCTGTATATCTGTCTGTCGGTCTATCTGTCTGTCTTGCGGGTACGCGCCCCGTTATTTTATCACGTGCCTCATGTTCTTGCCATGGTTCCATTGCTGATAGACCAACGAGGCCGGGGATCCGATCGAGCCGTTCAATCTACGCAACGAGCGGGACATGGGCTACTACGACACCAACGGAAACTTCGTCTGGAAGGTTCGTGTCTATGTGTGTGTCTTTGGTGTAGCATCGACCGCGCCAACCGGCTGGCCAATGAAAGAGGTCAGTCTCAGTGCGACTGAGAACAAAGGAATGCTTCTAATGGCCATGATCTGGGACCCCCTGAGGGGGCGTCATGGCCGAGGCATGTACGTGGGTGCAGTTTCGCGATTCCGTTTCCCCTTGTTTGTTGATGACAACGCATCAAAGTATCCGTGGGTTGAGCCCTTGTTTCCTGAAACGTACTGCGGTATGATGCTGGTCCGCTGTGACATTGCGGTGCTCCTATCCGGCTTGCAACCTTCGAGCTACTCAACAAGTCGTGAGTTGCTTTTTGCTTGCTAAGTGGTCGCTCCTTGACTATGCTTCTATTATTTTGGTTGCGTCTCCTGGCGACCGCACAGCAAGAAAATGATGAGCGGGATGCCTGGTTAGCAGAGATGGACGAAGAGGCGATGGAAGAAGCTATCGGAGCAGCCAGCACGAGGTGAGAGAATGGCTTTTTGTTGTTGTTTGTAGGCGGCGGGCAAGGGTATGTGTGTGTGACGCAGGGACACGCGTTTAGGCAGGGGGTGGAAGAGCTCATTTGCGTACACACTGCAGGTGATCGTATGCCTTTGTTTCTAGTGCCGGGTCGAAACAAGTCGGAGTTTGGCAAGCAAGGCTTGCACATCGCGAAGGGTCTAATGGGAGGGGCATGGTGATTTCGAACGCGCTCTTTATAGCCAGTTCAAAGTCGGAGCACGCGTGTTCACTTTTTGGAGCTAAGGTCGCCAACGCACGCGGTCTCTCTTTCCCCCCGAAATACAAGATGTTTTGGAGTGTGATGACGGTTTGCACCCCTCATCCTCACTTCCTCGTGTCACCGCCCTTATCGTTCTTATCGTTCTGTCTAACGATGTCACCCACGCCATTGGGCAGGGCGCCCAAGCCGAGCGAGGGGGCAACAGGGGCGACGGGCGCCGCTGGTGGTGCAGTCGCCCCCCTGGGAGGGGGCGCCGCGGAATCACTCTCCGTCATGGGCACGGCAGAGGTACGCTGTACTTACAAAAACTTTTGAGCACGTATGCGAACCTACACGGGCACGCGAAGAGGATGCGGGTACTTTGAAATTTTGAAGGCTCTGAAGATATCCGAACTCAAGCTGGAAAATATGGTGCAATGTGGCGTTGGGGCCTTGTTTTTTTTTTTCCCTTACTGATATCCTTACCCGCATCATCATTTCCCCTTGCCCCGTGTCCTTGTCCTTGTGGTTGGGTTTTCTTTTGCCTTCATCCTTGTCGGAGAGATGCGGGAAGCTCTGATCCCGCTGCTGCTGGAAGACGAGACGGTAGTGCAGGCGTTGAGGCGACTAGGGGTCAAGAAACAATCGCCATCCGCTGCTGCATCCGCAGCCTCTGCCGCTAGGGCTCGTCGTGCGAGGTGCGTTACCCTTCTTTCCGTGCTCTTCCCTTCTCTCCTCTTCGTTGCGTTGTGCTTTTTCTTTTGTTGCGCGCGCGTGCTTCTTCTCTGGTTCGTGCCGAGTTGCTTGCGGGTTGTTTGCTTTGGTTCGTGTTTGCGCATGCGTGAGAGAGAGAGGGGGGGGGGGGAAGGACGGGGGGGGGGGGGGGGGGAGGGAGGCAGACAGAGACTGCGCTCGGTTGTGTTGCTTGCAACGCATACCATCCAGTCCGTGAAAAAGGCCTGAGACTCTGCAGAGCGTGCGGGGTGTCGTGGCTGAATTCGTTGTCACTACCGGACGGTCGCAAACGACGACAAATGATGCACAGACGATAAACGTCTGGCCGGGGGTTTCCGACGATTGTTCATCAGTCGGTGTCTACACCACCCTTACTTTTTTCGGCGGTATGTTTTTCCGCTGATTGTGGACATTCCTCAATGGCGGTCTCTTGCTCCGTGCTCCATTTTTCCTTCTGACCGATTCCGAAAAGGGGACGGCAGTGTAGTACAGTTACCGCTGCGTTTGGACGGATGGGTTTGAACATGCCCCGCGGCGCCCTTATTGCCTTCCCTACGCACTCACGGTGGCCCTTGTCTTTCCAAATCTAAAATCCAAGTTGAATTCGACTTCGGTTTTTGATTTCGGATTGGCTCTACTCGGACACCGACGGTGATGCATCGAAATCGAAAGTTGAAAATACCACGGGTGACACGACAAAGGCCTGAAAAGTGTCGGTTGGAATGATTCGTACCGTGACCATGAGAGTGACAGGGCATCCCACACAACGAGCGACAGTGCCGGATGTCGGCGATGATCAGGCGGGTTGGGGGACCTTGTTCTCGCATCGATACGCTGCGAACTCAGCGAGTAATGTTTGATTGAATGCTGCGTGCTGATGTCGGAAAGCCGAAACAGCTGCCCCTGCCAAAGAAATAGTTTCACGGCGATGACTCTGTCTCTCTCAACTCAGAGCAGATTTCGCTCAAAGAAAGTACACCGTGCTCTGCTGTATGCCAGCTCTCTGCCAAGCTATTGCTTGCATCGCCAAGCAGTCTGTTGGTGGCTTGACGAGCATCGAGATGGAGACATGTACGACTTTCAGAGAGTCTGGCAAGCAGCTGGAAAGCAACTTCTTGTTGCTGTTCACGATTTAGACTGTCGATTTCGAGTCTGTTCGCGCTCTTTTTTTATTTTGCCACATCGGAGAATATTCGGAACAATAACCCCGAGATCGAAAACCTGGCGGCGGAACACTGGAGCCCTGGCCATTCAGTGACATTTTTTACTTCGATGTTCGATTTTCGACGGAATAGCGGTCTGACAAGGGCCACCCTCAGTCGCCCGCAACTCCCCTCCGGCACAATCCCACGTCACCACTTCTGGTGTTTTCGACCCATTGCTCGATTCTACGTCACCCCTTCCGGCGTTCACGGACAGTGACAAAAAGAAAGCGGCGGCGGCGGCGGCAGCAGCAGCAGGGGAGGAGTCGGGGGACCCTTCAGCCGCGGGATCTGAGACAACGGCGGGATCGAAGGCAGGCGATGGTGACAAGGACAACAACAGCACCGCTGAGAACGGCGGCGCGGAGGCGGCCGGGGGAGGACAGAGTAGTCCTGCTGGGGCAGGGGCGGCGGCGGTAGAGAAGAAGCGGAGGGAGGACTTCGCGCGGCTGACGGAGCTCGCCGACGCGCTGCTCCAGGCGGGGCAGCACGATGTGTACCAGCAGACCAAGGAGGACCTGGAGGAAGCGGCAGAGGTGGCAGCGGCGAAGGCGGCGAGGGCAGCGGCAACCTCAGGTGTGATAGGGTTGGCAGTAGTGTAGGAGACAGGCGGGAAGGAAGAGCAGAGGAGCTTCGTTTTGGTTGCACGCAAGTGTGTCCAGAAACGAACGTTTTTATCTACAGGCAAAAGAAGAAAACATACCAAGAGATTGACACGGAAGCAGTGGTGGGGTAGGAGAAGCCGTGAACGAAGAGCAGAGGAGCTGCGTTTTGGTGACGGTCGTGGCTTCGAGGGGGCTCCGATATAAGGGGGTCGAGGGCCTTCGTCACACCACCCTCGTATATCGGAGCCACTTTCTGCTGCTGTACACGGAAGTGCGTACCAGAGACGAAGGTATCTAGCCGCGGACAGAGAAACAAGGGCAGACGACACAGGCAGGGAGAGGAGAGAGACACAACCAGTAACGCCCCCTGCCTTTGATTGTGGAACTCGCTCGCTCTCGTATCATATCCCCCCTTGCTCAACACCGGAGCGGCGTGTTGATCTCGCGCTTAGCACGCCTGCGCTGTGTGCAATTACTGTACCCCGTTTTTCGAGCCGTGTTGTCCAAGTTTCTCCTCGCTCGTTTTGATTGCTCCTCGCCCCAACCTATGCCCGCTCGACGTCACAGCTTCCTATTTCGGGGGGGGCAATGGCCAACAGCAACAGCAGATGATGATGATGATGCAAATGCAGCAGCAACAGCAGTGGATGCAGTTGCAGCAGCAGCAGCAGCAGCAGCAGAGTCAATCCACAGGGGCTGAAGAAGAGAGCGCGTACTTCGAATACCGTGGGAAGGACGGGAACGTGCATGGGCCCTATGGGGCGTCTCAGATGCGGGGATGGGCGCAGCAGGCGAGTCACTGTTGTGTTTTTGTTGTTGCTGCCGCTGTTGCTGTTTGTTGTTGCCGTTCCTCCAATACCCAACTAAGCAGCATTTTTTGTTGTCGGTTAGGAAGCAGGGGTTCATGCATTTGCTGCCACCCCGTGAAATCACGACCCCCCCCCCCCC